ATTCTCTACTTTATACTCCGCTGTTTATGGCCGATCTCGTTGAAATCCTTCCAAGTATGCAATTCAGCTCAAACATAACCATCGACAAGGTAAAACCTTAACTTTGTTGAAATTCGGCGCCATTTTGTCATCCCCTGTCGGTTGTAAACGATTCGGCCTTGTTATACTTCCATTTAAGCCATTCCATCAACTAACAACAAATTTAAACCCTTTGTTAAGGGTATTAAAATACAAATACAACGAGAAATGCAGCATTTTATCACCCTGTAAAATGTTGCTTACGAGTCCTTCAAAACATTTCGTACAAATCTCGCGTGGTTTAGTAACAGGGGGGTGGAGACTTGAAAAATGAAAGCAAAGCCCAACGCAGCAGGTAAAACCAACAATCAACATTTAATTTGTATGACTTGTTCATATTAATAAATAATAATATGTATTTATTTGTCGCTACAAGAAATAAAACAAACGTTTGTATGATTGTATTTAGTTTTTAGTCTATTTCACGCAGCCTTCTATCTTCGTGAAAAAATTCACCCCCTCCTGTCACGGCCCTGTCACTTTGTCACGCGAAATTTGTTCGGAATGTTTTGAAAGACTCGTAAGCAACATCTTACTTTGTGATAAAATGCTGCATTTCGCATATTTCATTTGTATTTTTATTTTAATACCCTTAACAAATGGTTGAATTTGTTATTCGTTGATGGAAATGGCTTGGATGGAAGGATAACAAGGCCGAATTGTTTACAACCGACACGGGATGACAAAATGGCGCCGAATTTCGACAAAGTTCAGGTTTTACCTTGTCGATGGTTAAACAGCTAGGATCTACTTGAAACCCAGTTGAAACTTGTTTAAAATGTGCTTGATACCATTATGTTTGAGCTGAATTGCTTAATTGGAAGGATTTCAACGAGATCGGCCATAAACAGCGGAGTAAAGTGGAGAATTTGGGCAAATACGTCCATTTGCAGGAGGTATGTACATTTCAAATTATTTTTTCGGTCACAAAATATTAACTATTTTACTCCAAAACAGTGATAATATAATTAAATAAGTACCAATTATGTTTCTATCAAAAATTTTATTTTCAAAAAGGTAATGTAGATCCACTGCTGTTTATTTAAAGTTGTAAGCCACAAATTGACGTTTGACTGTGAGTATTGCATGGTCATTTTCTTGTGAAATATCAGTGCTAGGCATTTCACACTTACCAAGGACCACCCCTAAAACCACCATCTCTGAACCATATGAGCACCTCAGAATAGCCAAAACTTTTATGGTTTGGTAGATAGCACTATGGCGAGAGCGTCGTTTTTGGGTGTGGTGAGTTTCGGACGTTTCTTCCCTGATAGGGGTTCGGGCAGCGTTACCATGTTGACCGTCATGGTCAACTTGCTCTATAGTGAGGCGGATATGTGTAAAATTATTGATCAGTAGTTCCCGTTGAGGTTAAAAGCATCAAACTTTTACAATTGATGTAGTTTTGTTTGCGTAATTGAAGTGTGGCCATCGCTATTTTGCTGCTAACTCCTGAAAACGGCTGATTAGTGATTTTCTTCTATCGAATTCTATTACAGCCAAAAAATGTGAAATTTTGTATTCAATTACAACAAATATGACTTGCATCATCAGAATTTAATAATGTGGTAGAATTTAATAGCGAATAATGCTAATAGCATCGTAACTCTCTAAAAAACAGTGTTCTACTCATAAAAACATGCTACTGTGCACAATTTGGTGCGTTTAATCCTCTTCGGAAACATCCATGCACATGTCCGCCACACTACTAAAACAGTTGAGATTATCTGTCCTAAATGAAATGCATACAAACTCAAATACAGGTCCTAGACTATTAGGAAAAAATGTAAGTTTGCGTGAATAGTTAAAGAGATTAAATTAAAGCAAATTGTCTGAAATATTGTACAGTAATTAAAAACCCGACAAATGTCCCATCTATTAACTCAAAATATGATTAAAGCTTTTAAATTTTGTGCGCAAGCCATTTTTTGTTTTTTGGAAAAGACACAACCTCCTGGTTTACTTCATAAGATTTATTCACTACAAACTTGTTTAGTATGACAAGCAATGCTTGCCACACTCATCAGGTGAATTTAAATCCGCCACCGTGGCCAGGCATATTTTTCAAGCCTGCCCGGTGTGGATATACACTCAGAGTAACGTACATCACAAGCATCTTATTCACCTGAGTACATTACACCAACACAGTATATATATATATATATATATATATATATATATATATATATATATATATATATATATATATATATATATATATATATATATATATATATATATATATATATATTATTAGTGTAGACTAAGACATGATATCTGAAGATAATTTAATAAAACCTAAACCTATTTACGATTTACGTTTAGGTTTTATTAAATTATCTTCAAATAGCATGTCTTAGTCTACACTAATAATAGTTTTGCTCTGCAAAATCTTACCTGCATTGAGCACTCTTCAGATACGTGTCAGCATCGACAATATATATATATATATATATATATTAAGATGAAAATGTTCTAGAGTGTGTATTATATAATTTCCATACTCAGCGCAAGCAGAAAGATGCCGCGGCTGGGTCTCGAACCCGCGACCTTCGAATTACTAGATCGACGCTCTACCTACTGAGCTACACGGTCAGACGGATTTAAGACTGGAAATTAGAGTGTACAATTACACAACTAACATATATATATATATATATATATATATATATATATATATATATATATATATATATATATATATATATATATATATGTATATATGCATATATATGCCTATATATATATATATATATATATATATATATATATATATATATATATATATATATATATATATATATATATATATATATATATATATATATTTAGGCTATAATAAAGTGCTCAACACTAATATTATAGTAGAACAAGGTATATTTATATCTTAAAATTAATTATTGCTACTTAAGTTTCACGCCTTGTTCAAGACGATCTTCAGGCAATTAATTCAGTTTGTGTTTAATTCGTCAGCATCAACGGTCGGTCGCTGATGAGTAGGCTTGTCTTTCGTCATCGGTTTGAATTTGCACGCGCTAAATTTTTCCTTATGACAGCACTTCGCAAAAACTCTGACCGCGTGTTCAGTGAATTGTTCCTTTTCGATTTCAGGATGCAAAACTTCTCTTACAAACAGAGCCCACATCGCTTTCCACCAGGTGTATACGCAGCAGCTCTTCTCAAGATGAACCACTTGATGCTATAATTTCTTCTACTTTGCTTCAGGCTCCAAACATACTTAGAATGCTTTATATCAGACGAGTGGTTGTAGAGGTTGAACGACGTTTTGTGGTTGGCGTATCTTTCCTTGAATGGGTTGGCCGTCATTCCAATATATTCTTTTGTATTTCCGTCATCAGTTGTTGTCACCGTGGCTTTATAGACGATGTTGTGACGACACAAGCATCTTATTCACCTGAGTACATGTACATTACACCAACACAGCAAATATCATGATTATTAGATTACACTGATATTGAAGGAACTAGACTCAGTTCCGAAATATTGCATACTCCAACCGACCTGAACGCGTAGCTCAGTTGGCAGAGCATTGGGCTAGTATTCCAAAGGTCATAGGTTCGAATCCCACCGTGGCCAGGAATTTTCGGGCCTGCCCGGTGTGGATATACACTCAGAGTAACATCACACAAGCATCTTATTCACCTGAGTACATTACACCAACACGGTAAATATGATGTTGTCTACTTTGCACTTCCCGTCTAGTGGGCATTCGTCTGGTTTTTTGCAGTTGAATTGGACAGGTTTTTACGTAGGGTTTCTCTTTAACTGGCGATGGTTATTCGGGATATAATGGTTTTGACATTCTCCATGCAGGAGTAGCTAAAACTTTGATTGTGTTGCGGTTAAAGACCTTATGAAGGGGTTAGTAAAAGGGAAATGTTTATCAATCAATTGTAGGAAATTTCGACCGACGTTAGTTCGAACTGTTTTGCTGAAGGGTGGATTAAACCAAATGATGTTTCTACGACGTCTTCGGTTGGAAGATGGCAAACTGGAGGAATTATCACAGGCCGAGTATTGCAGAGGTATATCGTAGTTACTACGCTTAAGTTCATCTTCGTAAAATGATGCAGCAGAATCAAAGGATGCTTGATCGGAAGTGAGGAGATGCGTTTGTTAATTGAGGAAGGGATATGGTTGATGATAAAAGGTGGGTGGTTAGATCTATTGTCGACGTAGAGTGGGTCATTGTTTGGTTTACTAAAAGGTGAAAATGTTTCGTTTTTCAAGTCCAATGTCAGATCTAGGAAGTTGACAACATGATGATTCACCTCTGCTGTTATCTTGAAACCGATGTTATTAAAGATAGCGTGTAGTTCTTTCCTCACTTTATCGGCTGATCTGGCTCGTTTAGCTTTCAAAATTGCCAATCCATCATCTCTGTACATACCAACTTGATTCTTTCCGAACTTCGCCTCAAGTTTACTTAGGATGAATTATCCGACTAGTTCGCAAATTTCTGCCCCATCGTAGCTGCCCATTGTAACATCGAACATTGTTTCGTTATTTCTTTTAACCCATGTTTTATCTTGGTGAAATAGTAAGGACTTGCTTGCGTGTTTGATGACTGCTACATGATCATCAGAGATTGGTGTAATAGCTTTAGCCCAGCTAATAACTTTGTCGAGGAGCTCTTCCGTAACTGAACGATAAAAATCAACAATGTCAAATGACAGGAACATGTGGTTAGGTTTATTATTAACAAATTACGCAAGCAAATACGAATATACCATATAGATAGAGCGTAATATAGTTTCACGTTTAACCTCAAAAAAACCACAACAGTCTGTTTGCCATGAGGTCGATGATAAAGGCTGCAACATTTTCCTCTTTCGGTTGATTTTCTCTTGGGTAAGTCAATGGCAATCTACATCTCTTTCTCAGCACATTCAAGAGTTTACTTTTAGCAGTTTTCCGAGGTGTGCCATCAGGGCATGCCAAGCTAAGCGGGACAGAACAAAGTGGATATTCTAAAGCATTTTCAAAGTTGATAACTTTTTATGTCTTTGCTGTCAAAGCAAGAAGGGTACCCAAAATTTATCTGTTGACTTCTACTGTTTTCACGACAGTACTTCTCGTCAACGACACCTTCTTCGAGGATGCCTTAAATAATACTAACTTCCTCTTCTTAATGGGATCATGGAAAAGTATTTCTTTCTTCAGTATTCTATCAGTGATGAATGTTTCAAACAACGATTCTCGTTCTATTCTATTATTCAACATTTCTTCGTTGATATCCTCTTCTACCGGTGTACCCGAGCTCAAGTGGTAAAGAAAACTGTTATCTAGTTCCGCATCGAATCGGTTTAAATATTCCTTGCGTAACGTGTTGAAAACGCTGGTAGAATAGGACTCCGACTTCAGGATCTCGGATGGTTGTAATAACTTATATACTTTATTTGAGAGACTTATGACCCCCATTCCAAAAGGTTTTGCCTTGTTTTTGGCTTCTTGTGAACAATTCAGCGTCCACTTCAGAATGCCATTCTCTCGTTAGCAAGGCGTCACGGTTAATAGTTTTCTCCCCTCTTTGGTCAGTTGCGGTTCTCAACGGATGACGATCTTGTGCCTGCAGAGACAGTCCAGATTTTTCAAACATTCCTCTTTAGGCCGGAACGGAGAATGTCAATATTTTGCAAGACTCCGACGTAGTACGATGCGTATCTAGCGTAGTTTTGCTTGTTCAAAGCAAAATACATCGGAAGAAAGAATTTCCATGCCAATGAATTTTGATCAAAATCATTTTCTTGAACAGCTAGTTGTGCCGTTTGTTGGCACTCCATTAGATCCATGTAAAACTGTATGCAAAGTTGCGTAGCTTTCCCTAACAAAACATTTCTTGCTTCCTATTTGAAAGCTTAGTATTCTGAATACAACGATGAAGCATTTTCAGTAAGACAGCACAGCTTGGTATTGGATCAATACATGCATGCATCATAGAAGTAATCTGGAATGGCGATACTATTTTCTTTCAAAAACCTCTGGAACAAAAGCCTCTCCAGAGACTCTGAAAACGCAAAATGAACAATCCATGCCCTGTTGTAGTGTTATCCTGAGAGAACACCTTTCAAACTGCCAGACGAGCATACACTTGCTTGACATACGACATCTTCAAAGCCCGACGCTTTAACAAGCCCACCAATGACACCAAAATTTTCTTTAATGAAATGAAAATCTCCCAAATGGATGACAACATTGTAAAATTTCAACGGAAAATTCCTGATGAATTAACTAGTAGGCATTCTTTGCAGCACCGAGATTCAAACATACGTTGACGTAAAGTATGCATGTTTACTTCATTTTCTAGCTTCTGCATGTACGTAAGGTACTGGTTGATGGTACTGAATTATGTGACCTTATCGTTGATTGGTTGCAAGTATGTTATCAAAGTCTTATTAAATGTGTCGTTTTCCCCAGCTATTCGGTTTTGCATTTCCCAAGCAAATTAAGATGTTACGTTTTGATCGCGAAAATTAATCAGTCAAAGTATCATCACGTCAGGAAACGTTCCGCAGACAGTATCTGGCTTTTCACTACTTCATCAGCTGGATAATTAACAAAACTGGGAGGCTCTTTCTTTGGATTAACTTGCATTTCTTCACCTTCCATATTACTTTGTTCAATCGAGCGTTTTCCTGTTCTTGCCAATTTAACCTTCGATGTTCCTCTTTCCATCGTGAATAGTGACTCTTCTTGGAATGCAATCATGTGTGTAGAATTTATTGCGCCATGACCAGTTTCTGTCTCAAGATTCATATCGAAGTTGTCCGCCCAAAAATTTCAACACCGCATGTTCTTCGGTTGCTGGACTTAAAGGCAATGTACCACGTGTTTCAGAGACCTTTTGATTGGTTTGTGCATGAGCCGTTTCAATCTCACATACCATATTATGGTTTGTTGAGTGTTCTAACCGGTGGAGTAGTTGAATTGGTTTCTTCTGCCCTGCAATGCTGTGTAAACGTAGCGCATGCCTAAATTTAGACTTTCACAAATTTTTATGTATAATTATCACATGAAATCGAATAGACAAAGTAGCAAACAATCTCAGTTAAAATTTCAAACTGCATTTGAACACCAGTACTGGGCAATAGATAAAAGTTTGCTTAAGCGTATTGATTAATATCCAGTATATTAAATAACATTGTCAATGCTTATATGGCCCATGCCTAAATATAAATATCAAAACAATTAATAAGCTTATCAAGTCGCTCTGACATAGTCTCAAAAATGATAAACAAACATAAGAGATAGCACACACTATATACACCCCTTTCATCGAGAATTCGGCAAAACATTTCAAGCTTGATTAACAGTCTTTATATTCCACCATGCAACATGTACAATGCACGTGGAAAAGATGAAGTCAGGATTCCGGATAATTCAATTTATTTTTTGAAGCCTTATGCAATTCAGCATTTAAACATATAATATTGAAATAGTTCAACATGGGGAATAAGTTAACCAGTCTTTTTTCTAGGTAAGGATTAAAATCATGTTACTACGCACCCCCCGGTCAAATAGATCCAAAATGTTTCATTCCGTGTTTAACAACACATGCATAACTTCCGCAAGCAATGGAAACTTTATTCTAAAATAATTTATATGTAATGAAGGTTGTGGTAATAACATATCACAAATTTCAGTTCATTAATACCGATCCGATTTAAAGTGGTCGGTCGACAGTTCCGAATACGATCCGATTTAAAGTGGTCGGTCAAGATTGCATTTTTCACTTAAACATTCTTCCAATTTTCGAACATTTGCGCAAATGCTGGTTGCCTATCTGAAATCAGTATCATGAGCCTAATCTGCAATCTTCGAGTTTCGTAAAATGCCTTTTATATTTCGTTGTTTTCTCGCGAGTTGAATCACCTTTAAATTTGTATTGAACCCATTCAAAATCTTTATTCTAGTTCCGAAATTTGAATCCGGAAAAAAATTTCAAAACTCAGACAATAGCTTTGCATTCAATTCTCAACGGTGGAAAAAGACGATTTTAAACCGTATTGTATTTGGCCATATTTGATCGCATTGATAAAAAAAATGGTGTCATTATATTTATATTTGACAACCAAAGCCAGAGTAGGATTACTTTTTTATACACTTTGTATAATTGAATGGGTTGAAACAAACCTGGTGCACTTGATGATCAGCGTTGCGGAACCACATTTTGGCCAAAAGCCAATCATATTGACCGTCGTCAGGAGTCCATATTGGGTTGCTCTTACTGGGTTGTTGGTAGAGCTGAATGGCGATCGGTACCAAGTCTCCCGAACGTTTCACATAAAATAAACAAAGAGGCACTGCTGCGTAACATAGATTAGAATTACCATCCTCGCCATTTCGTTTGATTCCCTCCAATTCCTTGTAATCAACAATGTAAACATGTCCTTCCTTAATTAGAAAACAAATTTTTAAGTTTCAATAGTATTTTAAATAATTTTGTTTGCTCAACTTCTCCTGACCAGTCAGGTCTGAACATCTGTGTAATTTTCTTCCGAAATTTCTGTCTTCAAATTAAAAACCCGTAAGTGAGATGCCCAAAATTCTGATTGGTACTTCGTCTTGGATTGCGACTATTTTTCGGTCATGAAGTGTCGATATTTAAACTCTATTCCTTGCAGTGTTCGCTATTTGACAATTAGTCGCCGAAGGCGAGGTGATTAGAATCCTATATTCACTGAGCTGAAGGCGAAGTACTGAATATAGGTTTGTCAATCACCAAGCCTGCATGAGGCGACTAATAGACAACTTACATGTTAGACTAATTTTTAATTATAAACTAGGCAATAAAATTAAAATCTTATAAAGAACCACAGGGACCCCACTATGAGTTATGATTGAAATAATATTGTAGTTATTTTTAAAAACCTACTTGAATCCCTTGATAATAGATCATTTCTTCTTTCGAAATTCTGTAAACATTTTAAACTGCTTGGAGTCATTATACTATCACTCTACATGACGTTTCACGAAGTATAGATGATCGCTGAGAAGTAAGGACCACGGGCGCGAAAAGACGAAGGCAGCGAAAGAAGGGAGAATTAAACTAAAGGGTTGAAACTTCGGCGGGTGATCGTTTGATGTGTTCCATAAGTATGTTGTTCTCCGGAAATTTCGCTCGGGGCCCCAATGTGACTTAGGATTGAAAAAATATTGTATTTATTTTTAAAAACGTACTTGAATCCCTTGATCACCCATTATTTCTTCTCTCGAAGTTCTGTAAACCTTTTAAATGGCTCGGACTCATTATACTTGACGTCACGAGAACAACCTACTTATAGAACACATTGTGCGAAAAAACCCTTCGAGTGTAAAAACATACGAAAAATCAATCGTTTATTGAATCTACTACATCAGTGGTGAAGATATACCCAAAAAAGGCATAGAATCTGAAAAAAATATTCGAAAACACAAATAAATTGCGAATTTTAAAGCATTTAGAAATGTCATCTAGTTGAAATTTCAACCCTTTAGTTTAATTCTCCCTTGTTTCGCCGCCTTCGTCTTTTCGCGCCCGCGTTCTTACTTGTAAGCGATCATCTATACTTCATGTAGAGTGATAGTATAATGATTCAAGCAGTTTAAAATGTTTACAGAATTTCGAGAGAAGAAATAATCGATTATCAAGGGATTCAAGTAGGTTTTTAAAACTAAATACAATACTATTTCAATCATAACTCATAGCGGGGCCCCTTGTTAAAGAATTTACTAACATTAGTAAGATTGGAAAACTTGGTTACGAAATGTTGTACAGCTTGGAAAATATAGCCTTGCGAAGTTTCCATATTTTGTATATGTGTATGTTTGTATTACGTGCGGAAATTGTTACCATTTTTGAGCCAAAAATGAAAATATGATTATTAAGTTAAATATAAAAATTAATTTAATTTAATTTTCGTAGGCAACTTCCATGTTAGACTAATTTTTAATTATAATCTAGGCAATAAAAGTAAATTCTTATAAAGAACTTATTAACATTTGTAAAATTGCAAAACTTGGTTACGCCACTGTTGCACAGCATGGAAAATATAGCCTTGCCAAGTTTACATATTTTGTATATGTTTGCATTACGTGCGGAAATTATTACTATTTTTGAGCCAAAAATGCTAACAATTTCCGCACGTAGTACAAAGTTATAGAAAAATTGCAAACTTTACAAGACTATATTTTCCAAGCTTTACAGTATTTCGCAACCAAATTTTGCAGTTTTACTAATTTTATTATTTTAGCTGTGGTGTTTGATTCTCTTCGCAAGTACTACATTGTTTTAATATAATTTCACTTATTGAAAAAGTTTTATTTATAAATACAACTAATACACGTGCATGTGTTTATTTAATGAGTTTAATTTTCAGATTGATTTCCGTCTAATTTTCAGCCATTTTTGCGGGTAAAGCAATAGTTACTGCTCAGAGCAGTTTGAGCAGTAACTATTGCCTCAGAGGTACTGCTGAAAGAGCCAATCAGAATGCTCAAAGGCCATTTTCCAATACAGAAATTACACTAAAATTCAATAGTTTTAACCACAGAATATTAGATCTATCTCACAGATGGGTTAATTTTAATGCCATGGTCCAAATAACAGTCTGCCAATGGTCAAAGGCAGCACCATATTTGAGAGATGACAGGCGAAAATAATGTTGAACTTTTAAATTAAAAATTGAATAGCAAACGAAGTTCTACGGCTTGTTTCATCTCATTTGGCACTACTAAATTTTAAGCATTGATTCTCTATGACCAAGGAGGAGCGTATTGCAGTTAAAAATAGAAATTACAGGTGATAATTGTTTTGACTTGGAAAAAAATATTTGTCAGGGTATATTTCTTTCCTATTTCGATCACTATTTCAATGTTCAAAAATGTCAAGAACGCACCGATTAATAATCGTAATTAAATTAAGTGCGATTGCTGATATCAAACGTGTGATTATAAGATTTGTAATCACAAGTTTGACTGCACATGCCGGCATGAAACACGTGCGAAATAAATTATTTATTTATTTAAATGGCAAAACAACTTGATACAAGTTTTTAGCTATCAAATGTCAAGACGTAATTGAGAATGTTTTTTGGCACCGTTGCACTCCTTCTAACTAACCAATGTCGAGAAATTTCTTTGTGCATATTTATTAGCTTTATAAAAAGAAATCTTAAAAAAAAGAGGAAGTTAGAATTACTAAAGCAAAAACGACCGGCTGGGATTCGAATTCGAGGGTTCGAACTATCAGCATCGCGTAATTTGTACAACAAGAATTGATGGATTGGTATCAAGACACGCTTAGCTTAGCCTATATATTCACCAGAATGTATATCACGGTGACCTTTGTTTCCATTCTCATCCAACACGTGTTTTGTTTATTTAAAAATCAAAGCCAGTTCGTCGAGCCGATTTCGCCCGAGCTTCGCGCGAAATAACCTACCTTAATTTCTTCAGTTAATGTCATGTCTCGATCAAGAAATTTTTTAACCATAACGTCCGTAACAGGAAAATTTTTTGGCAGTTGACTGCAACGTTCAATGACACATGGATTACAGCCATTTAGGAATTGAAAGCCAAATACTTCATCCTTCATCCACATGTCATCTCGAGCTATTTCTGGTGCATCGCCTGTCCAACCGGTGTAGATTTTTGTGAAGCTCTCAAAATTACTCCAGCTGTCAAAGAGAGTGTAGAGGCACGACAGAGCAAGGTTTATTCCTCCGAACACTCGGCCACGATTAAACGCACGTGTAGCATCTTCAGAAAATTGTGAATCGCGAGGAATATCATCGTGCGTTGCGGCATGAAGAAAGCCTGGCAAATCAGTTACGCCAGTTGGAAGTTGTCCCCAAAGGTACTTCGCTTTGCGTTCTTGCAGCTCGAGAATTCGCTCCCCTCTTACGATTTCTGGCTGGTCTTGAAATGGAAGTAGAGCTAAATCGTAGATTCAAGTAAATATTATAAAAAAGTTGTAACGTGTATCATATCATCAAAGAACCAGTCATGAATTAAGGATTATTTTATCAATCATAACACTTCAAATTCAAATTGTCCAATTAGAAAGCTAGGTTTGTATCACATGAGCACGAAAGGTATTTTGGTCAAATTTTGCGTGCGGCGTCATATTTCAAACTGAGGCTAAAATACGTGAAAATTTACCTAAAATACATGGCTATATTGAATGGGGAATAAATCATGCTGGTTTGGTCTAAATTGGGCTTAGAATTTGGTCTAAATTGGGCATGACCATATACATATGTAAAATCGCGCAATAGAAATATTAAATATTATTGAAATATTAAATATTGTTGCGAAAAATGAAACTATAGGCCCTCTGGCAGGAATAGAAGCCGCGGCCCTGCATGTGTTTCTGGTGCAGCGCTCTAAATTGCTCCTGGTTAGATCCAATATTTTTTTTTTCTTGCGGTCTGGAGTCATATTTTACGCTTTTCTGCAATCTGATTGGCTACGTGAGCGGTCCGTATGAGCCCGTACGGACCGCGCGAGATTTAAAGCCTTAGAGCCACTGTTTTTATTTTTCAAAATTTAAAGACGAGTTTAAAAGCTACTTTTTAAAACATTAAAATGTCTGCAGACAATGAAAAACACAGTGAAAACGAATTTTACTATCTCACAAAAGATATTTCTCTTCCCGATAGCATTGATAGAAACGACGTTTTATTTGGCAGCTTCATTCGCGTGCGGGAGGAGTGATTGGGGAAATCCAGAGGAATTAAAAAAATAAAAATATTCTTACCTCGATAAATATTTATAAGACCTCGAGAAATATGTAAGAGTTAGATACCGAAAACGGAGGCTCTTAGTCAGATACAAACCCGAGGGGCCGTAGGCCCCGAGGGATTTATCTGACTAAGAGCCGACGTTTGAGGTATCTAACTAACTTAGTTCATATTTGTAAGGATTGACCCACAATGAAATTTACTTTATGATATGTATTGTTCTTTAAATGAGTTTGAATTACCATGGTTGTAATAAAAACAAACAGGGCTATTTTGATATGCATCAATTCTCGTGTCGCACTACTGTATACTATCAATGAGAAGTGATTAAATATTCGTTCACCAACCACAATTACGATGAAATATGTTTGAAATAGCTCATACAACCGAGAAGAGCTAACGAAGATTTGTACGGGTTTGTCGAAGCAGAGATTCTCAAGTTGTTCTCAACAGGGTTTTATTTGCAGGATAAAAACCAAATGGGAGGTCTTTCATTGAAATTCAAGACCGAGGCGTGCAGCACCGAGGCTTGAATTTCAATGAAAGACCGACCATTTTCTATTGTCCTTGGGAGGTTGTGGGACGAAATAAGGTTGAACATGCGCATTAAACACGCTTTAATGTGGTTGAGCATGCGTAGTATATCATTTCGCGTCCCACAAGCGAAAGAGCAGATATTACTGTATAAATTCCTTGCACAAGCAAGTTTGATGGTCGGTTCAGCTAGTCCTCGTGCACCGAATGATAAATATTCTACCCAAAGGTAGAGTTTGACGGGCTTTGAGGTACACGGCTGTTGTCTCTTTCTCGACTCAGAGACGTGCAGCGTTTTCTAGTCGAAAAGGAGATGTGGGGTTTGAGTTTGGTTAAAAATTCAAGGTATCTAACTCCATAGTGACCTCCAAAAGGGGTCACTATGGAGTTAGATACCTTGCATTTTTAATTAGGCATTCAATTCTATTCATCAACCCCGCTTTTCCCTGTGGAGATATCAAATCCCTCCCCTTGCTTTTAGATTCTTACCCAAATAAAACCCTATTGAGAACAATAGATATCCGCACAAATATGAACTAATTCTCTATACGGACCTCCAATCCGGTAAATAACATATATTTAATAATTTGCAATCGAAATTTCCATCTACAGAACCCATATACAATTGCTTTTATCGAGTGTAGATGGCAAAAATCCTGATATTTACCCATACACTTTGCATTGGCATCACAATTAATAAAAAATAAACAAAAAAACTATTAAAATAAAATAGTGCTTAATATGAGCTATCTCTTATTGTCGATTTCAAGTCACTTTTCAACGCGCGGTTCCCAAGTTTGTTACGAACTTGCCAATTACATTTCCAAGTTCGGAAATTGGGCGCGAACGTCGCAACAAAGTTCGCAAGCTCATACCAATGTTTGAAATTCGTTTGTAAACATGAAGCATTCATAATCAATAATAATAACCAATTCAATTAATGAAATACAAACCTTCTCGGTAGCCCACTGCATGGACCAAGAACTTTCCATTGAATTGTTTATTTCAACTTGAATTACTGTGAACATTTGTTTACAATAGTTCAAACATTGAAATGTTTTGTTCACGCCCAATTTTTGAACTTGGAAACGTAATTTGCAAGTTTGCAACAACTAGAGAACCGTAAAAATGAATCGACAGTAATTTTAAAAAAAATTACGGTCTTGGTAAAGTTTTAAACCAACAATGTGCTCAGTATATGTACAAAAAATAGATTTGTGGTAGTTTGAGCTAACAAGGAAGTCAGTAAAATAATAACATTAATCCTGTTTCGACAGTCATAAAACCTGTATAAGCCACACATTAATCAGTTGCAAACAAATCATCGGCTAGTCGAAATATAGCATCTTAGATTTTTCTGACTTAACGTAGTTAAATTCGATCGAGACACACCGGACGCGATTCAATAACGAAGCGCGATTTTTCAATTTTCACTGATCGATATCATAACTTAATTGATCCTGGTTTAATGTTATATGTAGTTTTGAAACGTTTTACAATGTTCCAATTTTTAAATTGCTTTTAATATTATAATATAAATACTATAATTCTTATTGATATGTTATTATAATTAAATATAATAATTGTGTAAATTACGTAAATCAGCTATGTGTCATGGCTGCGATGTAAATTTTAATAAACCTATTTATCAATCTAAACTTGAAATAAGTTTTAGGCAGTAAGTCGACAAACCCAGCGGGAAAAATGACGTTTATCCAACGTTGAATCAACGTTGGAAATGACCTTCCAGACGTTGGATAGACGTTGAAAAAGGGTTGACTATGCAAATTGGATCGACGTTACTGTCTCGACGTTGAAACAACGTTGAAATTAGGTTGCCAATCTCGTCAACCATAATTCAACGTTGAATCCACGTTAAAACAACGTTGAGATTGGTTCACAAATCGACGTCGTACATTTAAACATGAATGAACGTTAAATAAATTAATTCAACGTCTGTTGGCTGCTGTTGAACCAATGTTTGTAAAACAACGTCGGAGCAACGTAGATATTAGGTTGTCGACATCGGAACCTTTTTTCTACCAAATTTCAACGTTGAAACAACTGTGGGAAAATGTAGGGATATAGACGGACAAGCGATAATTCAAGTTGATATCTAGAGATAGAAACGGACAGGACATTATAAATGTGGATATGTAGGGATAAATAGGGTTATAAAAACACGTGTGAGAATCCAAGATGGCGGAACGTTGTTGTTTTTCGAGAGCATTTATTTAGTATAAAAATAGCATGTTTTAGATATTAAAAAGGAATAGAACCAATCGTAGGTCTTTATTGTCGTCTCATAAAGCGATTAACGACAAAGTGGCACCTCTGACGTGAATGGGAACTGTGATTTTAAGCGAAAATCTCGGGAAATTTGTGTGAAATTTGTGAAAATATGGCGACCTACGAAGGTAAATTGAAATCGATGGAGACTAAGATCAAACTACTGAAGCTAACCGATGAAGAATCACAACGAAGAATTGAGAAAGGACACGTACCGTCACTCGAAAGACAACAAAGAGTGCTCAAAACGAAATTGGAAGAAGTATACAGTTTAAAAGTTGAAATACAAGAGCTTAAAATTCAAAGTGACGAGGAGACAGATAATATATGTGAGTGGAGCTCGGATATCGACAGCCAGTTGACGACTTTTGAAGGGAATATAGAAAAGCTTGAAAGCGTGATAAAGGAACTGAACAAAAGATCATTGGAACAAACAAAGCAAGACGAAGAACAACTTATAGAGCAAATGAAGCAGAAACAATTCGGAAGAGAGATGAAATTTGAAGAAGAAAAATTTGAACAACGAATGATGTATGAGAAGAAAATCGAAGAAAGCCGCCAAGCTCAAGTCAAGACTTAGGATAATCTTTCAAGGTCAAATTCAAAGCTACCAAAACTTGTTATTTCGAAATTTAACGGCGAATTTACTGACTGGCTCAGATTTTGGAATCAGTTTGAGGCGGAGATAGAGGCTGCTGAAATACCTATTGTAACTAAATTTTCCTACCTGAAAGAGCTGCTAGATGCAAAAGTTCGAAGCCGTATTGATGGTTTACCCCTGACCTCTGAAGGGTACGAACGCGCCAAAGCTATTTTGAAGGGCAAGTACGGGAATACTACCGAAATAGTTAATGCCTACATCCAGAACATATTATTGCTACCTCGGGTCCAGGGCTCCAATCCTGCAAAGATACATGATTTTTACGAGAAGCTTCTATGGAATGCCCAATCGCTTGAAACCCTGGGGAAGTTGAAAGAAATAGCTGGTTATGTTCGAGTGACTATTGATAAATTGGAAGGAATTCGTGGAGATCTAGTTCGAACTGATGACTCCTGGCAAGAGTGGAAATTCCCAGAATTGATTGAAGCATTAGGGAAGTGGACAGTGAGAAACCCAATCAAAAAGGAGGAGAAGATTAATGACACCAATTCAGTTGGTACAAAGAAAACCAGAAGCTTCCAAACAAAGCAACAAGAATCCAAACCAAAGTCATGTATTTATTGTGAGAACACTGATCATAAGCCAGCCGAATGTAAGAGTGTTGTTACTGTTGCTGACCGCAAAAAGATCCTGGCCACTAAACAACTATGTTTTAACTGTACAGGAAAAAGTCATAAAGCATCTGAATGTCGAAGCCAATTGGGATGTCG